AGACTTTCTTCCAAAACTCCCTTCTAATCTGCGGCTTGCTTTTTCTCTCGTATCAAATGCCGCATTGTTCTGAAGTTCAGAGTGTCAAGAATGAACAGCTTTGAGGATCTGGGCAAGGAGGATGGGGTGCAGCCTCCCTGGACTTCCTCCTTCCTTGAATATTTTTTCTTTGGTGGAAGAGAGGCAAGTTTGTGCTAGCTGAGGAAGCACCAAGTCGGGATGAGAAGAGAGTCCTAGTCACAGCCTGGCCGCCACTGCCTTCAGAAAGATTCTAGAGTGGGGGCAGATACCACACTTCCACCTTTCTGTCCTTACAGAGTTCTTGCTGGTGTTATTGGAAGCTTGCAGCACATAGTTACTCAAAAAAACATCTGCTGTGGTTTTATCTATCACAGAGAAAAGTAATTAATACCAGAAAAAATCCATTAATAGGGAAATGAAGCATTAAAGTGAGGTAATTGTAGGAATCTGACAGAGCTGTGTGGACGCTGCAGTTGATGTTATGAACAAGTTTTATGATTTTAGGGTGGAGTATATGATCACATTAAAGTGGAGCGGTTATTTATTTAGCTTTTTTTTTTTGGAGATAGGGTCTTGCTACATAGCCCAGAAAGGCTTGAAACTTGCGGCAATCCCCTGCTTCAGCATTCCGAGTGCTGGGATGATAGGCTTACGGCAACACATCAACATTGATTTGGAGGTGCAAAGGCAGCGATCCCCTGTACCGTTCCTGAGGCTGATGGCACTTCCTGCCACCCTACAGCCGCTAGGACCGAGCTAGTGCCTCGGGAGTCCCCGAGAACATATGGACAGCAGGCTCCAGCTCCACATTCTGTGTCTTGGCCTTGGCAAAGCTGCTGCTTTGTCCTGTGGAGGTTGTGCCAGCCCTTAAGCTTCTTTCTCAGCTTTGGCAGGTGTCTTTGTGGGGGATCAGATGGGCTCAGAGAACACACCCGCCGTGTTTCTCTCTGGAGGGCCCTGGCAGCTGCACCCTCGACAGCCCTACCTGAGCCATGTACAGGTTGGCCCCACAGTGACCCGTGAAGGTGCCTCTTGGGGCACCACTGTCTCCCTTTCTGCAAGTACACCGGGCACTTTTCCAACCAGCATCTGCAATGGGAGTGGGACTGGCATGGGAGCCTGGAGGGGGGAAGAAAGCACATTGATCCAATTAGAATCCGTGGAGTCACTTCCGGGTGCGTTCAGGGTAGAGGGAGCACCTGTTGTTCCCTCAGTGGCTACAACATGCACACTGAAGGCAATCCAGTTTCGGGGTCTTGGTCACAACCCAGTGAGAGAGCCGAGCCACTGATAACACAGGCATACTTATTTACACGCCGAGACCACTTCAACCAAGGGGACTCAGGGAGTGAGGCGCCATGATGGCAGGCCTACGGTCTATGCTGCCGGTTGTCGGAGGTGGAGACATGATAGAGGAGCCGGGGTGACAGGTGTGACATCAGGCAGGAGGCTGTTGCTGACTCTGAGAGTTGTCCGACTCTGGTGGCAGTGAGTACGACCACATCTTCCGTGAGGAAGGGACCTGGCCTGTTTGGTGTGGAGTTGGTGGATGGCTCCTGGCAGTGAGTGCCTGAACTCCAAGACAGCTTGTCTCTCCTGGTCCCTACTTAGGATTCTGGACTCTGGCTTGCCCTTAGGCTCAAAGGGTAGAGTTTCTGGGTGGAGGCTGCCCATATCATCCTGGAGGCTGACTGCTTGCTCTCTCTTTTTCTCTCTCTGTCTCTCTGTCTGTCTTTCTGTTTCATTCTCTCAGTTAAGTCAGAGATTTCTAAACACAGGTGCTGGGTAAAGTGTTCATCCTGTCAACTGACTAACCCATCCATCCACTCCAACCAATCACCTACCCACTTACCCACCTATCTATCCACCTATCAATTTACCCACTTACCCATCATCCACGCACATGCTCACTCATCTCCATGCATGCACCCATGTGTGCAGCCCATCTTTCCAGTACCATCTATCTACCCACCCATAGATCTATTCACTCACCCATGTATCCATCAGCTCACCCATGTATCCACCCACTACACGCATACATGCACACATCCATCCATTGCTTAGGTATGTGATGAGCACTTATTATGTGCTAGGCCTTGTTGCCACACTTGAAGAAACACAGGCAACTAACTCTAGCCGTGGCTCTTGGACTTGGCTTCAGGCTTTGGTCATCTGTATTTTAATTTTAAGTTAATTAACTTTCGTGATGTTGGGTTGTCTTAGTTAGGGTTTTATTGCTGTGAAGAGACATAATGACCATGGCAACTCTATAGTAATATATTGTGTACCCTAATAAACTTGCCTGGGGATCAGAGGGCAGGGCCAGCCACTAGATTAGACATAGAGGTCAGGCAATGGTGGTACACACCCTTAATCCTATCACTCAGGAGGCAGAGATCCATTTGGATCTCTGTGAGTTCAAGACCACGCTGGAAATAGAGCCAAGCAGTGGTGGCACACACATTTAATCCCAGGAGTGATGGCAGGGCAGAGAAGGATATACAAGGTGTGAGGAAGCAGGAGCTGAAGCAGTTCAGTGAGATCCTTTCGGGGTGAGGACTCAGAGGATTTCAGTCAGAGGAAACAGGATTGGCTGAGGGGTTGGTGAGGTGAGGTTCGCTGTGGCTTGCTCTGCTTCTCTGATCTTTCAGCTTTCACCCCAATATCTGGCTCTGGGTTTTTTTTATTATAAGACCATCTAAGAGTTGTGTTACATAACTCTTATAAAGGAAAACATTTAATTGGGGTGACTCGCTTACAGTTCGGAAGTTTAGTTCATTATCATCATGGCAGGAAGCATGGCAGCGTGCAGGCAGATGTGGTGCTGGAGAAGGAGCCCAGGCAGCAGGAAGAGACAGTGAGCCACTAGGCCTGGCTGGAGCTTCTGAGACCTCAGAGTCCACCCCCACAGTGACATTGACTTCCTCCAACAAGACCACACCCACTTCAACGAGGCCACATCTCCTAACAGTACCACTCCCTATGGGGGGCATTTTTATTCACACCACCACATGGGTGAACAGGATTGTAAAACGCTTTAAACAGGGAATTTAGTTGTTTGTGATCCTGCCCTGCAACCAATACATGGGGAAACTCTAGAGGTCCCTGGGATGGGCCCCACACCTGTGCTGTTGGCCTGAGCTCCTTGCCAGGGGCAGAGGAACCCTGGAGCCTTCTCTCTCGGACTCCAGCTTTTCTCTCTACAATTGCTCCTTGGTAAAGGACTCTGTGAGAGACTTGGTGTCTATGCGGTGCCCTTTCCTTCGGTTACCACAGTCTCAAGTGGTCTGTGTTGTGGTTCCTGTCTGTCTTCCCTTTGCCCCTCCTCGGTTTCCACCCATCCTTTGCCCACTGTGGTGGGAGAAAGGCTTATTTGAGAGGCTAGCCACCCATAATGGGTGTAGACATTAATTAGGGGACATTCCTAGAAGGGGTCCAGATAATAAACACCAGGGATGACTCCACGGTCTCACTGTTGTTCATTCTCTTCGTGACACAGCAGACCCGGGCAGGGGACCCTAATGACTGTAAACATTAAAAAGAGAGAACCAGATATTATCTGCCTTCTGTGAGGTGTGCACACCACACTCATAAAACGTCCTGCCCTGTGCTGTCTACATGAGATGAGACAGACCTCTGTCCTGAACCACAACCCCATCCAGAGCTCACAGGCATATCCGTAGCCAGGACATCCCAGGGAGGTTGCCAGCAGTAGGCTGGGGCACAAGAAACCTGATGTCTTCACACATGGGTTGTAAAGGAAAGTGTCAGGTGTGGTGGTGCACGCCTTTAATTCCAGCTCTTGGGAGGTGGAGGCAGGAGGATCTCTGTGAGTTCGAGGCCAGCCTGGTTTACGAAGCGAGTTCCAGGACAGCTAAGGTTGTTACACAGAGAAACCCTGTCTCAAGACAAACAAACAAACAAACAAACAAACAAACAAACAACCCACTCACCCCCCAAAAAAGAAAGAGCTCACGGATCTGTGTGGAGGTTTCCTTTGGGAGCTTGGGAGGTCCTGTGGGAGTGAGCACTGGGCCCGCAGCTCCTGCATCTGTGGCTGCTGTCTGGTGTGTGCCTGGAAGCTGCTGCCATTGACACCATGCGGGCTTCGGAGTTTTTACTGCAGAGCTGGGCTCTGAGGCCTCAGAGACAACAGAAAGGATGACGTGTGTGTTGAGGTCCCAGAGACACAGATATCTCCCTCACCCCACCGCTCTCCCTCCCCTCTCTTTCTCCCTCCCTCCCTCCCTTCATCTCCTTCTTCCCTCTTGTTTGATGGAGTCTTACTGTGTAGACCAGACAGGTCTCAAATTTGACATCCTCCAGCCTCAGCTTCCGGCACACTGGGATTGTAGGTGTGCCTCACCGTTCCTGGTCCTAGGAAGATTACCCGCCTCCCACTGCGAAGTTTCAATTGGAAAACAGGGGATATGAGGGAAAAGGGACTGGCAAGTCATGGGAAGCATAGGCTGATGCTGACAGGAAGAGCTGCGTTTGCTTGGGTCTGGGGCATCTGGGGGGGGCGAGTCTGGGATGTTGATAATGAGGGTGGTTTTTTTTTTTTTTTAATCCCTCTCTCATGGGTTGAGGGAGTTTTCCTAGGGGGAAATTTGGAAACATCAGGGACAACCAAGAGGTGCTCAGGTGCTTTTGACCTCTCTTGGGTGCTTGGAAGCAGTGAGAAACAGGGTGAGTGAATTAGGATAAAGCCCCATGTGACGCTGGTGGAGGCCATTGTAGTGAGGGTCCACAGTCCTTCCCATGCAGCGGTTTCCCAGCACAGCTGCTCTTGGAACTCTGTGCAAAGTGTCTGTATTTTATCTAGGAAGCAGACCCCCTGACTCCCACCCCAGCGTGTGTGTGTGTGTGTGTGTGTGTGTGTGTGTGTGTGTGCGCGCGCGCACACGCTCATGCACGTTGTGTGTGTTGGACTTTGCTGAGGTTTTCCACCCTCCTCAGTCTTCTGTGGTTGTTTGCAGGCCATGGCGCAGGCTGGTGGGCCGCCACAGGCCAGCACTACTTCTGGCCAGCCCTATGTGAGCAAACTGGTCCTGCTTGGAAGCAGTTCTGTGGGCAAGACCAGCCTGGCCCTTCGCTACATGAAGCAGGACTTCAGCAGCGTCTTGCCGACTGTGGGGTGTAAGTGAGGAGAGCCCTGGCAGGGGCAGATGGGAGTGTGGTCCACCTCGGGATGGCTGGCCCCTGTCCTGAAACCCAAGGCTAGGTGTGCCGGGTTTGCAGGGAGGGGCGGGCTGTCCATCAGGGGCAGGCAGGCACACTATTCCCAAAGTGCGTGTAAACAACCTTCACTAGGGGCCAGGCTTCGGCTGGCATTGGTGTGTGTGTGTAGATCCTGGAACCGAGGTTCTGGTCCTAGAAGGCTTGAGTGTGGGGGGCTGGCAGTGAGGGCAGCCTGGGGAGGGCCTCCTTTCTAGCTGTCCTCCAGCCAGCTAATGAAGCCCCCTAATAATTCACTCTATTGAGAATTTGCTCTCTGCCCGACATCATGTACCTAGGCTTCCCTCAGCTTTCCCTGATTCTCACTGAGTCCTTATATTTGTAGCTCCCACTTCACACTGTCTGCAATTCATCAGCATCAAAGACTGACCCCCTTTCTACTTGGATTTGGTCCACTGGGGCTGGGCTGGGGCTGGGGCTGGGGCTGGGCTGGGGCTGGGCTGGGGCTGGGCTGGGGCTGCGGATGCTATAAGGGAAGAGAGGTGAAGCCTCTCTGTGTGCTTGCTGTATGTACGTATGTGAGACAAGGTCTCACTGTGTAGCTCAGGCTGGCCTGGAGCTCTCCATCCTTATGCTTCTGCTTCTCACGTGCAGTGATGATAAGTGGGTGTCATCATACATGGCATGCTTAATTTGGAGCAAGGATAGGTTAGAGAGCCCCCTCCCCATGCCTGTCTTTTTTTTTCTTCCAAGACAGGGTTTCTCTGTGTGGTTTTGGTGCCTGTCCTGGATCTCACTCCGTAGACCAGGCTGGCCTCGAACTCACAGAGATCCGCCTAACTCTGCACTCGGGATTAAAGGCGTGCACCACCACTGTCTGGCCATGCCAGTCATTTTGTTATTCAATACCCATCAGGGTTTTCTTAGCTCCCTAAGTGGATGGTCCTGCCTCCAGGAGCCCAGTCAGAGAGAATGAGCCGTGGTGTGATCAGGGGCTGGCCTGGGTAGGAGGGGTCCCTCGTGCTGAGGCTCTCTGCTGGGAATGAACTTATGCATACGGGGCAAGCACTCTACCATGAGCTGCTTTCCAGCCCTGGAAATTCATTTTTGAAAGACACCTTGACAGTCCTTGGAGAGCCAGGGAAGGGCTAAACGACCCTCCAGCTGCCTCTGCTTTTAGCTCCTGCCATTAGCGGATGTTAAAATGGACTGGTCTTTGAGGTCACACGCTGGGCAGCCGGTTGAACCTCTCACTCACTTTGCTGCCCTCCTGACGTGTGTGGGCTGCGAGACAGCAGTGATCAGGAGCCACGAAGTCTGCTTCTGCCCTGATGGGTTCATCTCTAATGACGTTCCCTTTCACTGAGTCACTCTGCTTTGTTAGAAGACAAGTAGGGTTGGAGAGATGGCTCAGTGGTTAAGAGCACTGGCTGTTCTCCCAGAGGTCCTGAGTTCAATTCCCAGCACCCACATGGCAGTTCACAGTCTGATGCCCTCTCCTGGTCTGCAAGCATACATGTAGCCATAGCACCTGCATACATTAAAAAAAAAAGACATAATATTTGAATGTTATTCTTTGAGAATTTTACCCCCACCCCAAAACCACCCACACACTTCCCCCCTCCCCCTCCCAACTCCTCCAGAAGTCCCACACCACAATCTAGCTTCATGTCCTTGTTCTCTTCCTCTTCTTTTGGGTAACCCACTGAGGCCAGTTAGTGTTGCCCTTAAGCACATGAGTGTAGGGCCATCTCCTGAAGAATGAGCAACTTACCAGGGGCCACATCCCTGAAGAAAACCTTTCTCCTCCCCTCAGCAACCATCTATTTCCAATAGCTCCTCCGAGAGAGGGAGGCCTCCTGAGCATCCCGCATTCATGCTGGGATGCTGACTCCCTTCATCTTACAGAGACAACCACAGCCACTGTGACTTCCTGGGTGCAACATCCTTGCCAGGACCAAGAGACACTGTTGCATTGTATTCCTCCCTAAGCCCTGGCTCTTCTCTGATGTTCCCCCAGCCGTGGGGAGGAGTGTGATGCCGATGTCTCATTAAGGGCAGAGATCTCCACAGTCACCTTTTCCTCCAGTTTGACCAGATGCAAACCTCTGTATTTACTGGTGTCCACTGATGAGGGCTAAGATCTGCACTAATCTAGGGCACAGAGATAACTTATTCGAAGGCAGCTTGGTACTGTTTCCATTTAGCAAAATAGAGCAATGGGTTCTCTCTTAGGGTCCATGAGCCTCCAGCCACCTCACCCTGGTTTTTTAATTATTATTATTATTATTATTATTATTATTATCCCAGAAGTGACAGGAAGCTTTGTCCTCAGTGTCTTGAGTCTCTCCTTTCATGCCGCATCTTATTAATGCATCCATCTCTCCCCCAAAACTCACTGCCGCGGGGATTGGCACTCTGTGCAGCCAGGCCTGATGGGGTGACCCCTCCCTTCTCTCCAGGAAGGCTAAACTCTGTTGTGTAAACATCTCAGCACTGGCTGATGGGTTGTAGCTCCAGTGGGAAGCCGGCCATGCTACCAAGATTTGACACTGAGGACTCCCGGCCACCGGCCACCGTGTTTAAACTGGAAAAGGAAAATGGGGGAGACAAAGATTGTCAACGGAGAAGGCAGATCTGAGTTTTACACCCACGTGATGCTTGCTCTCCCCCCTCCCTCCCTCCCTGCCTGCCTGCCTCCCTCCCTGTCTCCCTTTCTGTGTGTGTATGTATAAGATGTGTGCACATATGTGCATGCCCACACAGAGGCCACAGGAGGATGCCTAGTGTCCTGCTCTGTTACTCTGTACCTTATTCTCTCTTGAGAGGGCCTCTCACTGAATCTAGAGCTAGGCTAGCCGTAAGTGATCCTTCCATCCCCCTGCTCCTCCACCACTGGTCCCCCACCCTTACCCCACAATGCTGAGAATCCAGGGCTGCATGAGGCTGTGCCTTGCTTTTTTTTTTTTTTTAAATATTTATTTATTATGTATACAGTGTTCTACCTGTATGGAAGAGGGCACCAGATCTCATTATAGGTGGTTGTGAGCCACCATGTGGTTGCTGGGAATTGAACTCAGGACCTCTAGAAGAGGAGCCAGTGCTCTTAACCTCTGAGCCTTCTCTCCAGCCCCTGTGCCTTGTTTTTTATGTGGGTGCTGAGAAATGAACTTCGGTCCTTATCACTATGCAGAAAGTGCTTTTACCCACTGAGCTCTCTTACCAGCCTCAGAGACAAGACAATGTTTATCAGAATATCCCCCAGTTGACTCCAAAGCCAGAAACATGATCGGAAGTGAGAATGAACAGACCAGAGTGTGGACTAAACACCAATGTTGCTATGACAACAGTCCAGGGGGTACAGGAGGAGGAAGTAGATGTTGCTATGACAGACCTGACATTACATGTGCTTTCTCTCAGGGTTTTATGACCACTCTGGGGGAGGGAAACATTGGGTCATGTTAAACAGGAGGAAAACAAGATATTGGAAGTTTAAGCAAGTTGCCGAGGCCCATGAAGCTGAGAGGCATCTGTGTCCAGGGCCACCCCAGGCCTTCCCCTGCACTGGGGTGTCAGCTGCATTGGATGGTCAGTGCCCAGCAGTAGCCATGTGAGCTGGGAGCCCCGTGTTCTGCTCTCCACAGGAAGATGCTGCTTTGAGTGAAGAGCAGTTTAGTCAGACCTCACGTTCATGGACCCTCAGGTTTACACAGCCTACGTCAGTGTCTGCTGAGATGTGGCTCCAGTTCCCAGAGAGAATCCGTATCTTTCCAGACAGTTCTGTCCAGCCAGCCCTATCTCTGCTCTTTGCAAAGTGGATGGAAATGTGTCCCCAGAGCTGACGGAGCCCTAACTCACAAGCCTGCGGGTTGTGATGCCTTCTATGGAGATGAGAACACCTTGGACTTGGGTCCTCCAATTCCGTGACTGTCATTCTCAAGAGAGGAGGCGAGGGTACAGGGCTGGTGAGGGGAGGCGGGTGCTGTAGCTTCATTTCTGTTGCTGTGATGAAACACACTGACAAAAAGCAACTTGGAGCCGGGAGGGCCTCATTTGGCTTACCCCTCTAGATCACAATCCATTACCGAAGGAGCTCAGGCAGGACCCGGAGGCAGGAACCATGGAGGATGCTGCTTGCTGCCTTACTCTCTGGCTCTCTCTTAGGCTCATGTTCATCTTCCTTTTTAAAAAAATATTTTTATTTTTAATTTATGTGTGTGGTATTTTGACTGCATGTATGTGCACGAATCACGTTGAAGACCCTGGAACTGGAGTTACAGATGGTTGTTAGTTACTATATGGATCCTGGGGATCGAACTCTGGGCCTCTGGAAGAGCAGCCAGTGCTCTTAGCCATCTCTCCAGCCCCTCAGCTTGTTTTCTTAGACAGCCCAGAACCTCCTGCTTAGGGATAGTAGCCCTCACAGTGGGCTGGGCCCTCTCTTGTCAATCATCAGTCAAGACCATCCCTTATAGACATGGCCACAGGCCAGTCTGATCTGGGCAGGCCCTCTGTTGAGACTCTTTCAAATACTCTCGACTGTGTCAAGTTGTCAGTTGGAGCTAACTAGGACATCAGGTGAGGCCAGAGGCCAGACAGGGGCGGTACATCCATAGCCAAGGAACACTAGAGGTGGTTAGAGTCCCCAGAAGCTGGAGAGAGGTGGGAATGGGTTCTCCCCTTGTCCACAGCTTGACTTGGGACCTCTGGCTTCTAGCACTATAAGAATGGATTTCCTATTTTAAGCTGCTCTGTGGTCATTGTCACACCAGCCCCAGGATACTTATTCAGTGTCCTTGGGCTGGAAGTTTCATTTCACCCACGGAGGTCTGTCTCCCAGATTCTCCCCAGGTGGCTCCATACCTACCTTGGGTCTGTGTGGGGAAATGACTCCGAGCGAAGCCCTTGGCCTCTGCTGACCCTGCATGTCCTGGGCTCCCCGATTCCCCTTGGCTCTCTCCTTCCAGCTCCTCTAGGAGCTCCCACACTTGACATAGGAGTTTTTGGTACCATGACTATTTAAAAATCACACCAGGGCGGGAGAGATGGATCATCGGTTAAGGACACATGCTGCTCTTCCAGAAGACCTGAGTTCTATTCCCACCCCCCACAGTGGACAGCTCATAACCATCTCTAACTCCAGCTCCAGAGGATCCAATGTTCTCTTCTTGTCTCTATAGGCACCGCGTACATGTGCCCAAACCCACCCAACACCTACACATGGATACATAATTAAGTATAAAAATTCAGTGTTGGAAAGCAAAGTTCAAGAACAAGTATCTTCAAGGAAGAGATGGGTTGCGTGTTATGTGAAGGGGTTGGAATAAGTCTCTGTGATTGGTTAAGCAGGTGCCTGAGTGAGGAAAGGAGGCCCCGGCAGCTGCGCAGAGCACTCAGGAGAAGGTGGGGAGCACAGCAGGTGCTCCCTGGGCTGATGGCTGCAGAATTCAGTCACTCCCGGGAGATTTCTAGGTGCAGAAGAGAGGACAGCGGCAAAGGAGCCATCAGGGGAGGGGAGCTGAGGAGGCTGGCTTCTGGTGACTGAGGGTGGCTTCAGAATGGGGCGGGCGGCTGAGTGGCTCATGGACCTGAGGGGCTGAGGCACAAGGATCCTTAGAGTTCATTGCATCGCTGGACACTGCGGAGACACGTCAGATTATTCACTGCTGGAGGTCCCTTCCGTGTCGTTCTTAGCTCAAGGTCTTTCACTTCACCCCAACAGTTCAGCTCCACCCCAAGTGGAAATTTAAAGAGGCACAAAGGAGTTGCCAGCTGTGCTTTGCTTTATAGGGAAGCTCCAGCTTCCAGAACAGGCATTCACTCAGCCTCCACCAGCATGTGCCTAGCTGCTTCTCGCCGGGCTGCTGACCATAGAGTGCCGTGACACACAGGAGCCATGGATGACCATCGTATCCCCAGCAAACACTCACTGGCCTCCTTGCTACAGGTGCGTTCTTCACAAAGGTGGTGGATGCGGGCTCCTCATCTCTGAAGCTTGAGATCTGGGACACGGCTGGCCAGGAGAAGTACCACAGCGTCTGCCACCTCTACTTCAGGGGAGCCAATGCTGCGCTCCTGGTGTACGACATCACTCGGAAGGTAGGGTTAACCCTGCCTCCGTCCCCGGGCAACTGTACTGTTTACTGCCTTCTTCAGGGATCGATGGCGAGAAAGCAGGACTGGCACCATGTTTTGTGGGAACTTCCATGTGAGCAAAAAGGGACTGTTAAGCCCATACTATTCACCTCATTCGGGAAGCCCTCTTGGCAACCCCTCACACCCGAAGTTAGGCCCTGTTTCTCTGCAGTCTCCTGGCACACCCCTTACCCCACAGCACCACCATCACTGGTGCTGGTGTGCCATTGAGATGGTAAGGGACTGTTACAGACCCAGCCTACACCATGGGCCATCCATCTCATATCACCAGGGGTGTAGAACACGGAGCATGCGTGGAAATGACACTGAAGAACTGGACTCACATGTCCGTGTGTGTCCAGCCTGGCCTAGGGCAGGGTGAGCTTGCTGCCCCGGAGCCTCTAACAGGAGGTAGAGAAGGGGGGGCAGGCACACTGGGTGGGGGGCAGGAAGACATACTGGGTACAAGAAGCCTGGGAGAGGGTCTCAGATAAACAGTTGCAGTGCACCCAGAAAGTATGCGTTAGGCGCAGGTACAGGAGTGTGGAGAGAGGGGTCCCCACATCAGCCTTGATGCCAGAGGTCAGGAGAAGGGTGCCAAAGGACCTGGGGCCGAGTCCCCCCAGTTAGGAACTGGGTTGGGGTAAAGACAGTCCCTCAAACGCTCCTGCACAAAATGGTGTCCAGAGGGGAGCTCCTGACCCCAAATGCCCTGTGACCTCCACATCCCTGGCTCTCTGGTGTGCTGCCGGGTTGCACAGCCCTCCCCTACCAGGGTCAGCCCATCCTGGCTACCCTCCCAGAGGAGCAGAGCAGTCCCTTGGCATTGCATTCTGGGAAAAGGCCTCGATGTAGCCACATACCCTCCAGGGACACTGGCTTTGCTCTTCTGGCCCAGCAAGGGGAACTCCAACATGGTTTCTCTTCTGTCTCTTTAGGATTCCTTTCACAAGGCTCAACAGTGGCTGGAGGACCTGGAGAAGGAGTTCCAGCCAGGAGAGGTGGTGGTGATGCTGGTCGGCAACAAAACGGACCTCGATGAGGAGCGGGAAGTGACCTTCCAGGTGCCACATGGTGGCAGGCAGCAGGAGGGAGCCCTTGTCTCTGTGGACTTGAGGGCTTTTGAGACCTTGAAACACACACACATGCACATGCACTCGCACATGCACACACACACGCACACTCACCCTGTGCTTCATGTACTCATGTACCCACCTACATACTTGCACTTGCATGCACACCCATGATCCCTCTACCCACATATATGCTCATACCTCATAAACACACATGCTCACACACATGCAGAGTTATGCTGTATGAATACACTCTTCATAAGCACAAACACGCATGTGCCTCCAAAGTCATACATGTTAATACCTCCACATGCAAACCCACATGCACATGCACTCGTGTGCAGAAGTACACACAGAAGATTCCATCATAGTTCCCCTTTTGGTTGGAAATTCATGTAGGAGGTGTGTGTACACATAGGTACTCAAGGAGTGTGTATATGGGTAGGTGTGCGTGAAGAGTGTGTGCACACACATGCAAACCAGCACAACCAGTCTTCTTTTGTTTTGAGGCAGGGTCTTATGTGTTAAAGGCTGGCCTGGAACTCACAATCTTTCTGCCCAAGCTTCCCGAGTGCTGGGATTATAGGTGTATCCCAGTTTCTTGTAAGCCAACCAGGTATGCTTGGAGGGACTCTCTTTAAACAGAGTGACTTTCTCCTTCAGGAAGGGAAGGAATTTGCAGAAAGCAAAAGCCTGCTATTCATGGAAACCTCAGCCAAGCTGAACTACCAGGTGTCTGAGGTCTTCGGCACTGTTGGTGAGTGATGGCGCTCTGCTGACCCCTTCCCCTGGACCTTCTGGTGTTCCTGGGACTGGGGAAGGGTCATGGGGAAGAGTGGTGGAGTGCTTGGGTTAGGGTTCTGGGGGCCGGGATTCCCCTTCCCCCCCAACAAAGCCCTGTTTTCCACAGCCCAGGAGCTGCTGCAGAGAGCAGGAGACAGAGGGAAGAGCAGCTCCCAGGAAGGCGAGGCTGTAGTTCTGAACCAGGGACCTGCTGTCAGGCAGAGCCAGTGCTGTGCACGATAGATGCTATGGATGCTGCCCCCACAGGAGAGCATGTGGGGACATCTCAGCCTGTGCCTCAGAGGCTCCTCGGCCCGGGCAGGATCTTCAGAACAAGGCTGGTGGCTCTTTGTCCATGCATGGTCTCTGATGAAGACGGACTCTGACCGAGCCCTGGAGGCTTCCAGAAGTTGGCTTCCTTCATGATAACTGCTTGCCAAAGCTGATGGGAACTGTCAGGGATAGGATCCAGTGCCAGATGGCTCCCAGAAGACTGTCAGCCCCACCTTACCAGATACTACCTGATTCCTGGATGCCCTGAGCCGGTGTGCCTGGCCCACCTGGGCTGTCCCATTCAGCTGCCTTGCTGCCAGCATGGAAGAGCTAAAATGAGGCAGAGTAGAAGCATGGACTGGAAACATTCTTTGATCTATGTGATGGGAAGACAAATGTTTCATCCTGGGGCAGCTGGTCCATAACTGGACCACCTTAGTTCTGGGAGTTGTCAGGGGAGAGGGGGGCTGAGAAAGGCATCTGTGCCAGGAAAAAATGGAGAGATGAGCCCAAGGTGGTGGGTCTCAGTGAGGTGACCCAGGAGAGGCAGAGTCTGGAGTGGCTGAGATGGGAGTGTCCCCCTTCCAGCTGTGGATGTACAGAGCCAGGGTTCTATCTAGTGTTGCCTGGACTCTAGAGCCTCCATCATATTGTCTATGCATCCTTCTCTCTAAATATTAAATGTCTCGACAACGTGACCACTTCACAGTGTTGCACTAGGACCGCCGGCCTGACAAGTCACACTATTCAGTCTTTCTGCACACATTAGACTGGTTTGTGGGCATCAGACATGGTGAGGGCTCGTGGGGCAAGTGTAACAAGGGTGGGCATGGGCATTGGTCTGGGTAGGCTGTCTCTCCTGATGGTGATTGTGTTATCTGCATTGAGAGTTCTCATCCTTGCAGAGAAACCCAGGTCCAAGTTCTTGTCTAGGGAGGAAAGCCCCAGAGGGTCTCTCTCTTGACACGTGCTATGACAAGATGGAGGTGTTTCAAATGTGGCCATTTGGGGTGCAGAGCTGTTTTTTTTTCTTTTTTCTTTTGTCTTTGCTTGTAGGAGTGTGATAAGCTGTTGAGTCTGAATAATGAGACACCGTCGTTGGGTGTGGTGATATCGGCCTCTAATTCCAGGACACTCATGGTTGATGCAGGAGAATGACAAGCCTGTTCTGGGCTGCACAGTGAGCAAACAAACAAACAAACTTAACAGAACGGAAGAAACCCCAGAGAACACCACCAGTGGAACATGGTTGCCTCACTGAGGAAGGCGGCCCAGCTGTGTCCACTGTAAGTGCAAACGGGCAAACATGACATCCTCTTTCCCCCTTTACTCCAACTTCTCAGCAAAGTGAGCTCAGGCTGGCCAGGAGCTTGTCTGTGCCTGGGGTGTGCCCTCTGCCCTTCACGCTTCAAGTGGGGCTCAGTCCAGGGAGAGCCTTGCCTGGGTGGGGACTGGCAGGAGCATCCTGGGTCCACTGCACCTCTGGAGGGTTCCAGCTTCTGTTCTGGGGCCTGGAAACAACCCTGACTTTTTGGGTACAGATGTAGTCCCTACCTGACCTAGAAGAAACTCCTGTGGCCACTGGACAGATGTGGGTCTGCCACTGAAAGGCTTGTTTTCTAGTGAGGCTTTTTTTTTTTTTTTTCCGAGACAGAGTTTCTCTGTGTAGCTTTGTGCCTTTCCTGGATCTCACTCTGTAGCCCAGGCTGGCCTTGAACTCACAGAGATCCACTTGGCTCTGCCTTCCGAGTGCTGGGATTAAAGGCATGCGCCACCACTGCCCAGCCATCCTAGTGAGGCTTGTTGATGGCTGTACATCTGCTTTTCTGATGCCAGAGAAGATGGACAGTGGCCACATGATGATGCTCTACAAGTGAAGTAGGGGAAGTGAATATCCCGGCATCCCAGGCTGTCCCCTTCATCTTCAAAATCTCAATCAGGCCTGGGGCATCATCCAACAAGCAGGCAAGCCCCTCCTAGAGGTGATGAGAGGCCCTGCTCACCTATGACCACTAGGTGGTGCTCCAATATCACCCAAGGCAAATCCTTCCGCTCTGTCCCAAGTGCCTAGAGAGACTCAGGCGCACCTCCTAAGAGCAAAGTCATTGCTTTGAGGAAGCAGGACGTGGGGGAAACACCAGGGAGATTTGTAGGGTGCCTGTCTGTTTGATTGCCAATCGCCTCTCTATCTTGACTGATGAGTAATGCTCCTTTTGACACACTCCACCAGAAAGCCCAAGACCGGACAGATCTGGTACCATGCAGCTTCTTGCCACCTCCCCACCAGGCAGGTGAAACTCAGGGATGCCCTGGAATCACACTGGAGAAATTTCTTACAGCTGAGAGGCAGGGTCCCAAGCTCATGGTCAAGGTTAGCAAGTCAAGGCGGGACCCAGGACCCCATCAGAGGACCCAAGGCCTTTGGACAGTGGAGCAGTGTCTAGCTAAGGCCCAGGTCCTTTTCTATAACAGGAAGTGCAGGAGCAGAGCCAGGCACACCAGCAGGGGGACAATCGGCATGGATCATTTTAAAGAACGGCTTACTGGGTGCTTCAGAAGGTCAATGTTATGACTAAAAGCAGCAACAAGACCAGGGACTAAGAAAAATAGGGTGCGCGTGTGCACACACATGCACACACACACACATACACACATGTAATTACTGACTTTTTCAGGCTCACATCCTGTCTTATTCTTGTGAGGAACGTGCTGAACTATTTGGGGGCAATGTCTTGGTGTCTGCAACTCACCACCCAGTACACGTGACTCTAGGACACAGAGCGGAAGTGGGAAGACAGCACACAGGCTAGCTGATGAGTCCAGGTGGGCAGGGTAGTCATTACAGCATCTTTTGGAATTTCCTGCATGCTTTAAACCTGTTCCAAGACTGTGGAAAAAATGAATATGCCTCCATTCATCTTTCTGGATAAGGAGATGGTCCGTTCCTGGAGAACGGCTGTGGGAGATAGTTCTCCAAGCCCAGCAGCTACTACCATTGCCGTAAAAGCAGCGACTGTTACCTGCAGGGAACTGTCAACAAGATCCAGCCTGCGTAGAAGGGGGTGGAGTGGGGGGGGTCATTAGACCTTCATCTGAGATCCCAGCCACTCCCTGTGTCCCCCCCCCCCCCCCCCCCGCCCACCTCAGCTGCATGTCATTTTGCCCCAGGACCAAGTGGTTTTGGAAGATGTACAGGGAGTGGAAAGAACTGAAGGGCAGACAGCATGTCTCCCTAGGCAACAGTTGCAGCAGATGCCCTGAGCACAGCCCGAGTAGAATAGCTTAGACAGCTGACCCCCGGCTGAGGTCCAAGATGGTCTGTGGGTGGGATGGCACTTTCTGAGCCGGGAGAAGGCCAGCTCAGGCGTCTGCACTGGCTGATGGGGCTGCTAAAAACCTCTGGCACGCCTCTGTGCAGGCGAATCTCATTGCTGCCCCAGCTTCCCATGAAGCTCCTGCCCGAGTGTCCCCCCTTTCTAAGGACACTGGCTGTGTTATGTTGGCATCCCTCTTACTCTGACTCAGGTACTCAAGTCCAAAGTCCAAAGTTTGGGTGTAGAGACACCCCGTGAGACTTGAAAGGGGCATATAGGATCAAAATGGTTGGGGTAAAGCCTCTCAGGGATTCTCCTCTGAGCGGGAAGGAGGGTGACGTGCCCACATGTGTTAGTGGCTGCCAGGATTCTGCAAGGGACAAGGAACAGGGTATGTTCAGCGTGGTGAGGGACACCATGTGTCTCTGTACTGGTGGAACCAAGTAATGCATTTGCCCAGACAGCAGGCATAGTACTGAACATGAACCCAGTGGACACCACAGGTTCTGGGCAATGGCACCATGCCACTTCCTGGGCTGTAGTGCATGTTCTTTGTCCTGAAGGGTGCTGGAATGGTGCTCTGGGGATGGGGCTCCTAGGACCATCTCTATATCTTCTAATTTTTGCAGCAAACCCAAAATAGCCCTAAAAGTCAGTCTTGGAAATGCATTAAGAGGAGGACATGGGTCTCACCAGGGGAGTTATGCTGCCTTTATGTGGGACCAAGTACCTTATACACTGTAGTGTGTGATCCCCCTGGCTTATGCAGTGTGCAAGCTGAGTATACATTCGGGGTAGCTTGGGTGGGTGGGAGCTTGTGGAAGCAAGTGACCAAGGAAGGGGCACCCCATTTTCTGGGCAGTGGTGTGGCTTTGGGGGGGGACGACAAGAATTTACAAGAACACCAATATCAACATTCTCTTCTTTCCATCCATTCAGGTTATTAGGGGATCAGGGCCAAGCTCTGCAGGGCCTGGTAAGGAGGTGTCTCAGCTGTTTAGGGGGCAAGTCGGAGCCTTTTCTTTCCAAAGAGGCTACTGGGCTCTGAGCTTCTTTCCTGGCTAACCTCCCACGAGAGAAAACATCTTTGTTATCACGCAGCTACAGGTGCACGGTGAAGAAGGCAGCACTTTATTAGATTAAAGGAAAGCAGGGAAGAGGGAGGGTGGGGGAGGCTCTGCAGGGAGGGGGCGGGGGGGGGGAGGCTCTGTAGGGAGGGGGCGGGTGGTGTCGGGCCCAGCATCACTGTCATCACGAGCTCGAGCTCGGCTGGGCTGTCGTCAGTGCGGAGAGAACTTGGCACCTCCATCCAGCGGGAGGCAGCTCAGCCGGCACCGCAGGCCGGGTACGGTCACGTCCCTCAGGGCTGCCCTCCTCCTGCCGAAGCGGCCCACAGGCCTGATCCCACGGCCTGTGTACCAGGCTGGATTGATGTCAGGGGCTGGGAAGGAAAGATCCAGAGCAGCATATGGGGTACACGACACACAGGTGCAGTGTCTCCCACACAGAACCCCTAAGCTGATGGAAACCAGGGCACCAGGCCATGTTGGCACCCAACCCGATGAAAGTGGCCAGGGCATATCTGGTCAGTGGTGTGGCTTTGGGAAACTAATTTAGATGTATACCAGGAGAGACATTCCCTCCCTGTCCCACTCCATTCCACCCCCTCACCACCACCAAGTTCTTAAGGGACCCAGCCAAGATGGGTGGGGGCATGGTGAGGACAGGAGAGGCCCATTCAATAGGATCTTGTTACCAAGAGGTCAGCCTCTAGAGTGAGCACATGGCAGGGTAGCTTTGACTTAGGAGATGGCCAAGCCCCATTCAGGTGCTGAGCACTCAAGGCATCTAGGGAGGGTATGGAGGGGAGGGCGAGAGGGGTTGCCCACCACAAGCCAGGCACTTACTGCGTGTCTCCATGGAGTGCTGGTGGGCTCGGCTGGAAGCTCCTGGGAGGACCAAGGCTAACAGCAGCAGGCACAGAAGCCACGCCCTCAGAGTTGCCATGCTTCTGGCTCCCTCGATGATGCCCTGGAGACGGGATCTCACAGGGGACGGTATAGCCTGGGGGTCGAGGTGTAAGAGTAAGTTGTCTGCACAAAGCTGGGACCCTAGGTTGTGTGTGCAGACGCACATGTGTGTTTGGTACATGTGTGTGCACATGAGATATACAAATGCGTGTGTTTGGTGCACATAGCCACACTTCTCCGGAGAGAGGTGTGTGAGCTGTGCACAGGTGGCTGTCTTGGGACATTCTTGGGCTTGTCTGTCCATCTGTGTGAGGAGCCAGGAGGTAAGCACCCAGGTCATGGTGGGAAGCAGTTTTATGGGGAGGCCCGGGGGCAGCAGAGATGGGGGAAGAATTTTCTGGACCTCAGAGGTACTTAAGGGTTTGGGAGTTTGGGACTTAACTGCCCAATCCTTCACACTTGCCTCAGGATCTCCTGACATTGAGAGACAGGCAGGCCATGGAGAACACAGCATCCTCCATCCCTAGTGAGTACATACCCCACCGCCCCCACAGTAACCCAGGACTTCAGACCTAGTTTGCTGAGACTCCAGAATGAATCTGTGGCACCTGCTTCTCCTCACAGTGCCCTTTTGAGTGACAGAGGCTGATGCTGTGTATGGGAAGGAGTACCCTGCTGGAGTACCCCTCCTTGTCCACACCCCTGACATTTCAGTTCCCATTAGAAGATGCTCTAGGGCCTCAAATTCTTCAAGGAAGACCTTTAGCTGACCTTGACTTCCTAGCCCCTCCTTGACCACACAGAAAGATTTGTCCATCAGAATTCTTTAAAATGCCTACTCCTTCCTCTTCACAGCATTGCTGGGGTGCCCCACACAGGGCAGGGGAGCCCCAGCTAGAGGAAATGGAGGTGCCACCATGAATCATTATAGAGACTTGGTCCACTCAGGCTAGGTGATGGATACCCAGAATGCTAGTTGACCCTGATTCCTGAGCTCCAAGCACCCACTTTCTGGAGCACAGTAGACCTTGTCTGCTCAAGTGTGTCTTCTGGGCTCTGTTTGAGAAGGTGCCCCTCAGTGGGACACCTTCACCTGCCCTCCACCATGGACAGCTCTTCAATGTCAGAGTCCCTAGGAGAGGGTGTGATCTCGGACCCCAGACTGTGGGTAGCTCTCTCTGCTTGTCCTGCTTGGTCCCCGCACCTGGCCGCCAGGTGAGCGTGGCAGAGAAAAGACTTGCTGGCAGTCACAGCACCCCCCCCCCCGCCCCAACACTGCCAAGCTACTCACCTGCTGTCCCTTGAGTGTGGCGACAAGGCTGCCTGGGTGTGAGGTGACGCCTGCCTGACCGCTCACCTTTTATAGGCTAACAAGGAGGCAACAGACGCCCCTGGCCCCTCCTTGAGATGGCGTCTTTGCTTATAGCCAGCTGTCCCCAACTGCGTCTCCTCCCTCATCAAGACACTCCGTCTTTTTGCTTTCCTTTCTTTTTACCTTAAAAAAAAAAAAAAAACACTCTCACCAGCAGTGTGATTTGTTCCTTCCTGAATTATATAATTTCATTTGGGCCAAGTGGCTTTAAAACACATTAACCGCCCCTCTTCACGCTCGCCTTTGGGCAGACTCCGCAGTTACGTGTCCACCCATCCTCTCAATGGGAGGCGGCCATCGAACTGAAATATGCCCTCTTCCGAACGCTCTTCTCCCCCTTTCCTGCCTCACCTGAGCCATGGCTTCCTGGAATGGTGGCCAGGAAGTCTCTCGCACCCAGGTGGGTGCTTCCTGTTCTGGCTGTCCCCTCAGCTTGCTTATCCACACCCAGGGTCTTTAGACACATTTCCTCTATTCCATCCTGCCAAGTTTATTTTTTATAAAACAAAGAGAAGTTTTTGGTGTTGTGGTATACAACTGTAATCCCAGCACTCAGGAAAGTGAAGCAGGAGGATGGCTATGAGTTCAAGACCAACCTGTTCCAATACAACAAAACAAAAAATTGAAAACAGAGAGAGCTCCTTTTATTATAAAGAAAGTTTAAAGGTGGTACTCGGCAGTGTTCTAGCTATAATCCCAGTGCTGAGGCAGACAGAGCAGAGACAGAAGAGCCTCAAAGCTCATTGGCCAGTCAACTTAGCCAAATTGACGACCTCCAGGTTCAAAAGAAGAACTTGGAGAAATGATTGAGGAAGATCTCCGGCGTTGATCTCTGGTGTCTACACACATGTGCCCCACATAAATGTGTACATACCCCATACTTCACATATACAAAACAAAAGTTCTAAAAAGCAAGTTTATTTTGCTGTAAAAGCAATTTACAAGTAATGAGAAAAAAATTAGTGCACTTAAAAATAGAGAAAAGAGCCCAGATAATGTGCAAAGGCTAGTGTTTTCACTCCGGGTGTGCCTTCTGGTGAGTTCCCTGCACCTGCTGGGTTGACTCATCCTGTTCACAGGTGCTGAGCCTCATTCTTCTTACCATCACAGCCTGGAATTGTTAAAGTACCTGTAGATCTATGCTGTTGAAAATAACTATGTAGCATTCTGTCATTTAACTTGGACCCATCACCACCTTGTCAATAGTTACAGATTATATGAAATGTCATTTAAGTGGAATAGAACATTCTTCAAGGAACTATGCGTGAGAAGAGACAAAGCAGGCGGACTCCCTGGGATCATCATTTCCTGGCCTCCATCAGATGTGTAGAAAAAGCTTCAGGCTGCCACTTCACCCTTTGGGGACTTGGTCAATGCAACATCCGTGTTCTCAAGGCATGGCTGCCTCTTCCTTGGCAGAGGAGGGCTCATTGGGAGATGTGGTAGGAGGTGGGTATGGTAAGGAACTCTAGGAGGATGGCATAGCCTGTAGATTAGGGTCACGGGGAGCTTTAAACATTTGCTTGGTGCCTCGGTTCCATCTGTGGATAGCTCAGGCATAAGCATTGATGTCAGCCCAGCCTCCCACCGCGGTGAGAACAGTCATGGTGGGACATGCTCCTGTCCCGGGGGTGGGTCTTGTGGGAGATTTCCCCGGATGCATACTCAGTCATAGGGCCCAAGGGGACTGCTGTGAGACCTTGGGAGGGGGAGTGAGTGTCCTGAACATCATTGTGGGTCTGGGTCTGTCTGTCTGTCTGTCTGTCTGTCTGTCGTCTGTCTGTCTCTGTGTGTGTATGTGTGTGTCTGGGATCATGGGTTTTTTAGCAGAGTAGCTTTATCAAAGTGTAGTATGAACATAGTATCCCTCTCCCAGTCTCCAGTCCCCTCCTCACCCCATACTTGATGGCACCAGGCCAAGGATCTGTGGGATTGAGGGACGCTCTGGACGGCTGGCGATGTTCCAACGGCAGGTGGCAAAGCGCAGGGCAAGTGTGGCCTGGGCTGCTCTTGTGTGCTGCTCTTGCAGTACTCCACAGAACCCCAGCTGTGGGCCTGGCCCGGGTACCTCAGAGCCGAGAAGTGGGATGCCTGGAGGGTTTGACCACAGAGATCAAGGAGCTTTTCCCACATCTTATTGATGGGCCGTGGATCCCAGGACAGGAGAACCAAGCAAGGACTGTTGAATCAGCTTTGGGCACAGCAGAGGGCTTCGTCATCCAGCATAGGCCTGCTCGAGGTGACCAGCACTGAGGCCGCACATAGCCCTAAGTAGCTGCCCTGGGTCTGGTCTAGTGAGCTGCGGCTGTCAGAGGGGAACAATCACAGGGTTGTAGCTGAAGGGACCGTGACTATGGGACATTGGCTGGAATTCTGGACAGTTGACAAAATGAAGAGGGGGGGCATGTGGAGAGGGAGAGGCAGAGGCTGTGAGGGTGCGCCCCCCCCTTGACACCCTGAAGCTGGACGGCTTGTGTCTCTGGGCTGCAGGAGAAAGCTCCGTGTCTTTCCCCACACTCGTACTTAAATGGATTTCTGCTCCTTGCAGTAAAGGGAGCCCCATTTGAACAGGACGCCCTGGCCAAGGCCCCACCTCTTGGTCTTCCTCTAGCTTTCAGCAGCGATGGGGACCCCACTGTTTGGGGGTGCACTGCAAAGCTTTGAAGTCTTTGAGCTCTCATGCTCTGTAGTGGGTCAGACAGTCTTTCCCCAGTTCACAGCCACATAGAACTTCAGGAGACAGTCATCTATGGAAATAGGGTCTTTGGAAGTGTGTTGACTGAGGCGAGCACCCTGGGTAAACTGAGGCAAGCATACCGGGAAAAGGTGGCCCTACACACAACACATGGTGTCCTGGCAAGAGGGCAGCCGTTCAGAACCACACAAGGCAAGGGGCCATGAAGGTGGGGATGGGGACTGATGTCAAGGTAGACTGGGATGGCGGCAGTCCCAGGAGGAGGAAGAGGCACCTACCCCTCTGAACTGCAGATCCCACGGACACCTCAATCGGACTTTTGTCCTCTGAAACTCAGGAGGGCACATCTCCTGTGGCTGTGGCTGGCTTAGTTTGCGGTACTTTGCTAGGAGGACACGGGACACGAACGTGGGACTCCTGAGATGTGGGTCTCTGAACCGGTGGGAGGTTCCTTTCTGAAGTTCATTCTCAGAGTACCCTAGGCTGTTTGTGGCCCTGGCCTGGGTGTTCTCTGGACTCCTGGGACATGACACAAGCCGATGGGAAGAGGCAGCCCTGGGAGTAGGAGACTGCCTCCCTGGAGTGGCAGGAAGGCTGTGAAGAGCAGACTAGGCAATCATGAGCAAGATTGGTTCTGATGCACTTGGTTTGGAGAACCTAAATTCTGACAAATTCCAAAGCCGTCATTTGTGTGAGCTACAAACCTAAGTTTAAAGCATGAGCTGTCTTGAAAGTGAGGTCCCTATGTAGTGCACCCCAAAAGCCTGTGTTAGAGGCTTGGCCTCAATGTTGTCCTGCAGTTGGTGGTTATGGCGGCAGAAACTCTGGGGTGGGGGTCAGCGTTATGGCTCCTGTCTGTGACCCACAAGGAGATTTGAAGAACAATGTCTGTGTGTGTGTGGGGTGTGAGGAATCTAGCCCTCCTCACTCACTCTCTGTAACTGTGCACTCTCCCATCATACCCACAGACACTCTTGCATCTGTCTCTCTCCCTCGCAGTTAGGAACGCGAACATGCTCAGGGCCTCCATTCTGTCTGTGAATGTGGCTCAACAAAGCCAAGAGACAGGCTAAAGGATCACAGCAAAAGGGGATCTAGGTGTCCTGATAGAGAGCATCATCCGAGGATAAAATCACGTCAGCTTGTATCTCCTGGGTCAGAGGCTGGCAGGCGCCCTGGCTCTGGCCAGTGGCTCGGTGACAGCCGGAAGTCTGAGAACTTGCTGTCTCCCAAGTGGACCCGCACAGGAAGTTCTTCTTATTTCTCACTGGGATGGTGATTATAAGCAACCGTGAGCATCAGGAGGCACAGAGCCCGTGGGGATGCGATGACTGTGTGGAAGAAACAGTGTGGGGTGCTTTGTGGTGCTCTTCTGTGTCTGTGTGTCTCCTTTTAGGGCTGCTGGGCCATCACGGGTTTCTGCAGAGCACAAACACACACATTTCATTCGGGTGTGCACATGGGTTCATGTGCAAAGTGTACACACAGATGTATAAAAAACTACTCACAATTATGCTACAGATACAGATGTAACAGAGAAACATACAAATATACAGGTGTTCAGACAGGTGGGGATATAAACACAAACTTAGATATATGTATTTACACACGCACACATGTTGACACACACAGATATACACACCAGCATGTGCACATAGAGCTAATGTATGTATATACAGAGAGACATGTGCTGGACACACAGACACACACACAGAAGCATGTACACTGATACCCATGTGGGCAGGCACAGACATACATACCAGCGTGTACATGATACATGGACACACACATAGACACAGACATAGATATGTATGAAGAAAAACATGTGGGTGTGAATACATATAGACCCAGTCTCAGACATGTGAATGTACACACGGTACACAGGTACACAGGCAAGACCCGGTTCTGTGTATTCACATGTGCACACACGCTCAGTTGCTTGTGTTTGTACCAGCCTTAGTCAATCCCTTGGTTGCTTTCTTTGTTTTTGTCTTTCAATACAGGGTCTCTCTACACAGTCCTAGCTGTCCTGAAACTCACTATGTAGACCAGGCTGGCCTCGAACTCACAGAGACCCACCTGCCTCTGCCTCCCGAGTGCTGGGATTAAAGGCATGTGCCACCGTGACTGGCTTCTTCTTTTTTTAATTTATCTTCTCTGTAACTCTGTTTTCCCAGATACGAGTTTCCAGTCACTGTGTGCATGGAAAACATTTGACGCTCCAGAGCTTTCAATGACAGGGAGCTTGATTTCAAGATGGTTAAGATTTAATTGGCAGGCATGCCCTGTATCGTCCTCCGCTCTCCTTAAGGGATGACTACCCCCAGCTATGAGGGTCAGGTAGACTGATTCCTGGCCTCAGTGTGGAGTATAGGGAGGGCATCCCTGCCCTACCACTCGCCGCGGTGGGCATGCGGACTCCAGCAAAGGCGAGGTCTCCAACCTCATGAACGTCTTTCTACTGTTTCTGTATCTCTGTCCTGTGACACGCTGGCCTTTAAACATGGAGTTCATGACGGTGAGAGGCCATGATTCCTGTGGGCTCCCCAGTGGGGCCTATATACTGAGAGGATGGACGGGGTACTGGCTGCATTCTGTCTTTCGAGGAAGATGAGCTTGCAGGGTGTGGCAGGTTCATTGAGCTCCTGTGTGGAAGCTTTCTCTGGAGCCTGGCCACAAGCCTGCCTGGCTGCCGCCTCTACTCACTGTGGTCTCTGCCCCTGCTGCAGCTCTTCCAGAGATGGGGGAGGGAATTTAGAAGATGCCCTGGATTATCTTACTCAGTCCCCTTCTGCTCATGAGAAGAACACATACAGAACACAGGGAACAGTGTGAGCAGAGGTTCCCAGGACACAGAGGTTGCCTCTCCTGGAGAGGGCTCAGGGACCCCAGGCCAAAGCACCTATTTAGTGGCAGAAGAAGGGCTAGCTGGGGGCTTGAGGGTTGTTCCCTTTCATCATGTGATGCCTACATGGACTGATTAGGGTTGGTGCTGGTTATAGAATTCAGCTAAAACTCGCTTGCTGAGCACATATTAAAATTGAAGAGACAGCAAAGAGCTGACTGGTACATGGAGACCTGTCCTTGGAGGAGGTTCCATTTGGGATCCAAGATACAGAGAGACAGTGTTGTCATGAGCTATGAGCGTGACATGTGGCCTGTGCAGACTGCTGTTGTGAGGGGCCTCATGCAGAGGATAATGGCTGAGGCCACCCTTGATGCTTTGCATTGAAATACCTTTCCCCGGTGGTCATTAATATTCAGCCTAGATAGCAGGAAGATTCAGACATACATTTTAAATCAATACTTAGACCACCCCGAGAGAACTACTGCTTTCCCTGTGTCATGGGTGACCAACTCCAGGGTCCTGTGCATGCTGAACAGACAGCCTGCCACCAAGCTACACCTCTAGCCCAAGGCAATTTTTTAAGAAAACAATAAATCTGGAGCTCAGTCTCCTTGGACAAGGTTTGAAGAATCGAGCCAGGCAGATCTCTGCTCACCCATGAAACCAGAAGTAAGCTGAGGTAAACATTGGACAGTGCACTGGGTTGGTAAAATAGGGGGAGGGAGAGATTCGGGGGCAGGGGTTGGCATAGCTTGGATGTAGGGTGTCCCTCAAGGTTCGTATATTGGAGGTTTGGTCCCAGTGTGGTGATGGACCTTGATAGGCTGGCCTTAGTGCGAGCTCTGTAGGTCATTGGGGGGCATGCCTTTGGAAAGGATTAAAGACATTCTCTTGGGGCCCAGTGAGATGGCTCAGTGGTTAAGAGCGCCTCCTGCTCTTCCAGAAGACCCGAGTTTGGTTCTCAGCACCCACATCCAGGTGGCAAACAACCAGCTGTACCCCTGGCTCCAGGGGATCCAATGGCCTTTTTGCAGGTACCCACACACATGGCACATCCTGGCATATACTCACACAGATACACACCCTCACATAGATACACACTTTTTAAAGTCTGCATCTGGCTCCTGTTCCTCCTGAATGTTCCTTGCTCTGTCTGGTGAAATGATCTCTCCTCACAGATATTCCCACCATTACAAGCATCTGCTAATGCTGATTATGTTCTTGAACTGTGAGTCAGGTAACCCTATTTTCTCTGTAAGTAGCCTGCCTGCCTAGTGTATTTATTTCATTACAGTAATGAAATCTGGACTAACACAAAGTGTGTTTAGGCCTTGACTAAGGACACTTGTCACTGTCACCATGAGTATCTCCAGAGATGAGGGCCACAACCTTGTCATCTGACAGGTCACAGTGTCGTGTTTGAGTGGAACTGCTGGGCATGCCCTTGACTCAGCGCAGAGGCCTAAGGCAGTTCACAGCTGTTCTTGTGTCCAGTGCTCATGTTGCTGAACTGAGGGCCTCAGGGGTCAAATGGGGGTCTTCATGGTCCACCCTCTGTATCTAGTGGCCCTGCCTGGCCCGAGGGCTCACTGGAGAGCAGCCTTGTAGCTTCTGGATCGCGATCCCTTCCCAGAGCTGAGCCTGCCCCTTGGGAACTGGGTGCTGACTGTTCCTGCCATTCTTCCTCCTCGCTGGACTCGGGTGCTTTAAAGAAACGTCTTCACTTCTCCTTTTGCAGATTGATGCTTACCCCCAGCTCCCACCTCCCTTTCGCTCTCGTCTAAGACTCAGTATCAACACGTGAAGCTGACAGGTCACATGGAGAGAGGAGACATTACCGCGAAGATGTGGCTGGCCGTCCCTCTCCTCCCGTTGGGGTTCCTCTGTGTCAGAGAGCCACGGTACACTGATTTCCGATCAAAAGAACCACCATCTATGCCTTTGGGAAAACAGAGGGGAGGCGCTTAGTGAGCCAAAGACCAATCAAAAAGAGCTCTTATCTACTTCAGACATTGGACGGCAGCGCACCATCAACGTGGACATGTCCTCTGTCGAGGAGGTTTCACACCGTGATACACTTTGCCAAGAGCACTCAATGGTTGTGTGAATACCAGCTCAGAATGCTTTTACCTCTTTTAAGAGCCAGGGCTGCTAAGAAAGTAGGCAGGGCCGATAGGAAAAGGGTGGGGCCAGTGGCCAGGAGGCGGGGCCAGCGGGAAAGATGGGGGCCAGTGAGAAAGGAGGCGGGGCCAAAGCGTTTAGGTGGCCGGAGCTGGAGTTTGCGCCTTTTCTCGTGGCCCTGGAATAACAGGGACTTAGGACACTTGGGTCAGGGGCACATGTATCTTCTGCCACGCAATTCTGTGACGGGACAAGGGACCTGAGGTGAGGGGTGCTGGGGCTCTGGTCCTCAGAGCAGAAGGCTTTTAGGCCTGTGGCTGCAGAGATGAGGGCCATGGCCTCCAGCCTTAACCAACTGTTTGTGTTTAGGTGAGGGGGCTGGACAAAAACCGATACCTGCATGGCTCAGGGGGGAGTTTCCTGACTGAGGGGGTGGGATTGACTCACAGTACGCCAGAGTCCTGAGAGTCTTCCTAGACCCATATTCAGTGATGCGCTACACATCAGGCCGGTGTCTCTCCCCTCCCCTCCCCTCCCCTCCCCTCCCCTCCCCT